ATAGTCAGTCGAGTTCTTATATTTATTCTGTGCTTCCCCCCCCTTTTCCTGGAACGAACCCAAATTGGAGTATATGTGCGTGCATACACTATCCAGTACATGGGAACATTAGATATATGTACACACACACACACACACACACACACACACACACACACACACATATATATATATATATATATATATATATATATATATATATATATATATATATATATATATGTATATATATATATATATATATGTATATTTATATATATATATATATATATGTATACATATGTATATATATATATACATATGTATGTATATATATGTGTATATCTGTATATATATATATATATATATATATATATATATATATATGTATATATATATATATATGTATATATATGTATATGTATATATATGTATACATATGAATGCATATATATGTATGCATAAGTATATACTTATATATATATGCAAGGATATATATATATATATATATATATGTATGTATATGTATATATATATATATGTATATATATGTAAGTATTTACGTATATATATATATATGTATATGTATGTATATATACATATGTTTATATATATGTATGTATATATGTAGGTATATATATGTGTGTATATATATGGATGTATATATATATATATATATATGTATATATATGTATATATGTGTTTGTATATGTATATATGTGTATATATATGTATATATATATGTATATATGTACATATATATATGTAAATATATATGTATATATATGTACATATATATATGTATATATATATATGTATGTAGTGTATATATATATATGTGTGTGTGTGTGTGTGTGCGTGTGTGTGTGTGTATGCATATATATGTATATTTTTATTATTTTAAAAATGTTAGAATTGTAAATGTATAATCGTCTAGGTTGTTTTTTTTATACATGTATTTTGAGAGAAATGTATATTTATGAAGGCCAAATGGTTTGTTTAAAAAATGATTCATTTTTATGGTCCTTTGCATCAATGGTTGATCCCGTCAAAATTATTAATTGTCGCGGATTCATTTTTTGAATTCACTGAGAAAGGTTTTATATATATTGGCCAATGAGAGACGAAATTATCAAGCTCATGTGAAATTCTGGAAGTAACCGATATGACCTTCCTTTGTTCAATAAAAGAACTGCTATTTAGCGGTTAGACAGAATGATAGAACCGTTGAAAAACAATTTAAGTTCGAGGAGGAATCAATAGCGCCTACGTTTCAAGAGGACATGTTCAGCCGAGTGGTGTCATAAATCGACACCGTGAAAGAAAGTGCCAACAGATTCAACAGAATCAAACCAGATTCCAACCCCAGGACAGAACATTCCTTTCTGTGCCTTCCTTTGAAGTATTTACACTAAACGACACTTTCAAGTATAACTTTCTAGCAAAGTACTACGACAAGCCATCGAGATAGCAACCTGTAAAAACACGAAACCCCTTCGTGCTTAGACGTCCTATTATAGAGTATTTAGGTAAGACTTTCATTAGTAGGGATAACTCCAACATAAATATATGCAATTCAGCTTTAGCTTGTTTTTTTTATAGTAAACAAAAAAATATTCCCAATTATTACTATAACTATCACTAGAATTTATCCCTCCTACCTCTTCCTCTATGACGATCTTCTATTCCCACCTTTCCTCACCCGACCCTCACTCTTAGGATGCTTGTGAGATGCTGTACCTAAACTTTTGACCGTCGCTTATCGGCAAGGAATCTTCCCAGACTAACCAGCATTCAACACCCCCACCCATCCTTCACCAAACCGCTATCAACAAGCACTATTGTTTCACTCCGTTACCTTATTGCTTTATGTATATTTTTTTCTCAAATAAATGGAAAAAAGGAAGTGACGTTTCACATACGGCTTGCTTCCAAGCAGAATTGTTCATAACCATTTTTGGTTCTCACCCGTCGATGTGCAATTGAAATGCACCGAAACGAAGTTGCATCACTGTAGTGAGTAAACTGCTTTTGTCTATATGATAAAAATTTATATATATATATATATATACACACACACACAACAAACATACACACACACACACACACATACACACACACACACACACACACACATATATATATATATATATATATATATATATATATATATTAATTTGTATGGATATAAGCTTGTGAGCCTGGGTTTCACGCTTTTGCGTTCATCAGACAAACTCATATCCATACAACTAAATATGTTATCTCTACCACTGCTATTGTTGACCACTTTCAACTAAGTACTGCACGTATAAAATTATATATATATATATATATATATATATATATAGGTGGGTGGGTGGCTGTGCGTGTGTGATAAAATAAAGGACAAACCTCTTTAAGCTTGTATTCTTTATATTAGATAGATATAAGTTATATTCTTTAAAAATGAACTCAAAGAAAGATGGCGATGTAATGTAATGTTTTAGGCTTGTGTTTATAGTTGGTAATAATGTCATTATTAAGTTTTCAGTGTATTTTCTCATTAAAGAATTATGTTCTTTTTATTAGAGTGGCATTAGTGAAATCAAAATTTTGTCCATCATCGTTTCGATGCAAAACGATAGAGTTAGATCGATTGTCTAAACGCAAGTCTCTCTTGTGTTCGTAGCTGCGGGATTTAGATCATATGATGTCTCCGCCGCATAAACATTTTTGCATTGTAATAAATTTATTTGATAAATCTCGGTATTTGAATTGGTGTTGGGTTTATATTTTTTCCTAATTATATTTCCAATTTTCTTGGAGGTGATGGTAACGATCCTAGTATTAATAATATGTTTGCGAATGTAGTAGAATTAATGTTGGAGGGCAGGATTATGAATTTTGTTTAGTTTTTGTTGTTGTTAGTGTCTGTTTCTTTCTACAAAACTCGCAAACAAATTACTCAAAAAATACATGCTTAAATCAGCCATAAATTAGAACCATAAAACATAAATTAGAACCATAAGACAACCCGCTGCGCGGGCTGACCACACAAAGGTGAAGACATCAGAACTCCCCCTAGACAGACAAACATAAACAATTTCGAATACATATTACGATCCGATGCCCACTTAGACATACAAGAATCTTCACAAACTTACATACACATAGAATTATCAACGGTTTTAATGCACGTGACACGTGTCTGACCAATAAGAACTGGCCTAAACATTACTGAAAATACCAATGTTTCTGTCTCTTTATCTGTTTTCCCTCACTTTCTGACGAAGCTTTAATAAAATTGAAACATGTTAGATTGATAAACGTTTTCTATTTGTTCTTTATTTTATCATCCTGTCAGATTCCGATCAATATGTGATCTGCAATTGATCTTTATTTCTGAGATGAGGTATTGTAATTATTTACAATATTTACATTGTTCGGACTGTTGTCCTCATGTTTGTTGCCATATTCTTAAGGACACATGGCCCAGTGTATACAAGTGTTCGTTGGCTCCAGTGGCTCGACCCAAAGAGTTGTGAGTTCAATACCTGGTTACTGCAGTAGGGAACGAAAACTTAGAGATTTGAGTTAAAGGGAGATAACTGAGACATCTAGAAGAGGCATGGCACGTGGAACTAGAACAATCTATGCCGGTGTACGAAATAAAAGGTTCATTTCGAAATTCTAATCACCTGAAGAAGGCCTGAGCGTACAACGACCGAAACGACGTGAATATGGCAACAAAGATGAGAACAACATTCCGAACAATGTAAATAGTGTAAATAATGGATATATCAGTGTATATGCACCTTCCCTCTTGTTTCTATTTATGTTTCAATATCAATGTCTTTTCAATATCTATGTCTTTTCAACATCTATCTATCTGTCTGCCTTTTCAACATCTATCTGTCTATGTCTTTTCAATATCTATATATCTATTGATTGTTTTCAATATCAATCTATGTCTTTTCAATATCTATGTCTTTTCAATGTCTATCTATGTCTTTTCAATATCTACCTATGACTTTTCAACGTCTGTATTTTCAACATGTATCTTTCTGTTTTTCAACATCTATTCTATCTATCACTTTTCAACATCTATTTATCTATGTCTTTTCAATATCTATCTATGTTTTTTGAATATCTATTTATCTATCGATGTCTTTTCAATATCTATCAATCTATGTCTTTTTAATATCTATCTATCAATATCTTTTCAATATCTATGTCTTTTCAAAATCAATCTATGTATTGTGAGACCGGAACTACCTACACAATAGACTCTTCCAGGTCTATATTAAGTATGCGACACAACACTCTAGAGAGAGACACAGAGAGACAGTGAGAGCCGCGTACGACTACCAGTATTGGACACTAACATATAGTAAGCTCCGCTTACACTATCTCTGTAACCTGTTGTTAATCTATCTTTCTTACATCTAATCCGTGTTCCGTGTTTTACTTCTGTGGTCCCAACTTTGGCCACACATCACTATGTCTTTTCAAAAACTATCTATGTCTTTTCATCATCTATCTCTTTTAAACATCTATTTATGTTTGTCTTTTCAATATCTATCGATCTATGTCTTTTCACTATCTATCTATCTATCTATATATATATATATATATATATATATATATATATATCTTTTCAATATCTATCTATGTTTTTTCAATATCTTTGCCTATTCATTATCTATCTATGTCTATTCAGTATCTATCTGTCGATGTCTTTTCATTATCAATCTATCTATGCCAATACCTATGTCTTTTCAATATCTATATACGTCTTTTCTATATCTACCTATGTCTTTTAAATAGCTATCTATATATGTCTTTTAAATTTCTGTGTGCATATTCAATATTTACGTCTTTTCAATATCTATATATATATATATATATATTTTAATATCTATCGATTTCTTTATTATCTATCTATATATGTCTTTTCAATATCTATCTCTTTTCAAAATATATATATCTTTTTAATATCTATCGATGTCATTTCAATATTTATCTATATATGTCTTTTCAATATGTATCTATCCATGACTTTTCAATATCTATGTCATTTCAATATCTATCTAAGTCTTTTCAATATCTATCGATGTCTTTTCAATATCAATCGATCTATGTCTTTTCAATATCTATCTGTCTTTTCAGTAACTATCTAGATATGTCTTTTTAATTTCTAAGTCATTTCAGTATCTGTCTTTTCAATATCTATCGATGTCTTTTCAATATCTATCTCTTTTCAATATTTATGTCTTTTCAATATGTATCTATGTCTTTTCAATATCTATTGATGTCTTTTCAGTATTTATCTATATATGTCTTTTCGATATGTATCTATCTACGTCTTTTCTATATCTATCGATGTCTTTTCAATATCTATCTATGTCTTTTCAACATCTGTTTATCTATGTCTTTTCAACATCTGTTTATCTATCTATGTCTTTTCAAAATCTATGTCTTTTCAATATCTATGTCTTTTCAATATTTATCTATCAATCCATCTATCTGTCTTTTCAACATCTATTCATCTTTCTATCTATGTCTTTTCAACAGCTATATATCTACTTATATTTTCAAAATCTATCTATCTATCTATCTATCTATCTATCTATCTATTTATGTCTTTTCAAAGCTATCTATGTGTCTATGTCTTTTAGATATCTATGACTTTTCAACATCTATCTGTCTTTTCAACATCTATCTATCTATCTATCTATCTATCTATCTATCTATCTATCTATGTCTTTTCAAAGCTATCTATGTGTCTATGTCTTTTAGATATCTATGACTTTTCAACATCTATCTGTCTTTTCAACATCTATCTATCTATCTATCTATCTATCTATCTATGTCTTTTCGACATCTATCTTTCTATGTCTTTTCAACATCTATCTATATCTATCGCACATAGCCTGTCTCCTTTACCCATCAGCCATCAAACACTTAAATTGGCCAAAATATGGCAATGCTATGAGAGGTTGTGGTCGGGGACTCCTCATGGTATGTGGGAGTTAGAATGGTTTGATAAATAGACAGTGTCCATCCACAGAATAACTTAAGCACCGTCCAGTCAAGATGGACATTGGCATTTAGCAATTAAGTGCGTACCAATCGCTTGTTCGGCTGGCTGGCTCATTGCACGAAAACATTGGCAGAAAATGACAAGTACACACTTGTAATCAAGCCGAGGCTTGGATGACAAGTTACAAAGGAAGCAGCTGCGGTGGCCATCTTTGTTTTAATTGTAGAATACAAACGATGATGACGATGTTGATGATGACGATGACGACGATGATAATTTTTTCACAAGACAAAATCAACATTTATTATTAATACTATTGTACACCCAATACAAGGCCCAAGAGCCATTCAAGCTAGAGGCTTACTGAATGAGGTTGTTGCATGAGCGTAAAAGGAAAGAAAAGTAAGGACGTAAAGAGAGGAAGTAAGAAGTGCATATTATGAGAATATGTAGGATAGATGAATCTTAACTTGAAGTTAAGATTGTAGAGATCAGGGAGCATCCTCTCGGGAGTCTGTTCCACAAAGTGATGGTTCTGGGGAAGAATCTTCCGGTTTGGGGAATGAGGATGAGTCGAGCCTGTGTGCGTGACATGGCAGATGCAAACTATGTCGGTCTGAACTGGTGGAATTTTTTTTAATCATTTCACCCCAAGCAAGGTGATAATGCCACTAGGACGCAAGAGGCTAATGGAAGTGAAAGTCAATGAAAAGAATTTAGAAGGAACTGGAAACGCAATCCTAAATAGGAAACAAAGAATAAACCTCTACTCCTGTTCAAAAGACCGGGAAGGAGTGTTTGTCTGTCGTGACATAACAAAGAAAGTAAACATGCAAAAACTCAGAAGACACATCGTAGAAAAGAAAGTGACCCAGAATGTGATTGACGGCAAAATCAACCAATCAAGAAACAGCATTAGGAGTTTCTACTTGAGCACGCAAGTAGAAACTCCTAATGCTGTTTCCACGATAAAAGATTCTTAATTTCGATTTTGGTTTGTGCTCGTTGGCTGCTATAGTCGACATAAGAATTTTTTTTTTACTTTTAACATTTGGAATAAGTTTAGCTTATTTAACTGAAATACAGGGAAAAAATAATTCGAATACTAGCTTAAACATTTAATAAAGTGTTGAACTACCATTAGCTTCTAATTATTCTAATTATTTTACCTGAAAATAAATAACGACTTAATTAGGTGGAAAAGCGATGTAGAGGAGTAAAAGGCTGACCTTTTATCGGTTTGATGTTTACAAATAGCCGGAAATATCGGAATAGAAAAAAATGCTATTTTTGCAAGTCGTTCACATTGTTCTGTAAAATTTTTGTATATATAAGATTTATTTGTTTTCTTTCCTTCGGACTTGCTATATTATTTTATGTTTTCCTTGAAAAAAATGTTTTGGGTGGAATACTAAGAAATATAATTCAGGAAACTTCCTGTCTTGTAACTAGGAAGTTAATTTAACATTTTTCACTTAAAGTTAATTTAATGTTCTCCTCTATGAAGTTATACACACACACACACACACACACACACACATATATATATATATATATATATATATATATATATATATATATATATAAGTTTCTGTTAAAGACAACTGACAAGGCACTGCGATTAAGCTTTTTTATTTAATTTATCCGACCACAGTACAATTAGGACTCATTTAAACACACACGAAAACCTACCAAACTCCATCCGCAATATATGAGTAGAAAATTGTTGTTAATCATATATATATATATATATATATATATATATATATATATATATATATATATATATATATATATAAAGAAGAGAGAAACCGCAAACGTTTTTGGTTGTAATGTGGATTTTTAAAAATATATATTATATTTTATCTTCCATAATTTTGCTACATATGTTTCGGGTCTCGCGAACTTCTCCAGGCAAAGAGTGGATAATTCCACATATCATTAAAATGAATTAATGTTGCTTATGATTTTCGATGTTAAACATTCTCTTTCTTGGGTGTAGTAGGGACAAAAATGTCTTTCTTGGACTGGTGGTAAGAAAGTTCTTCTGCTTAAAGGGTAATAAGACAATTAAGATTGGTCCGAGAAAGGGTGTGGAAAGATATCTGTATTCTTATGTTTTAATGAACACCTGTTGTTCTTAGATCTATTTCCATTTTTATGTATCGTGTGTGCGTTTTTGCTAGAGATGTGTATGTATATTCCCTCTCCATACATACTGTCTTATTATAACGAATAAGTATACACATATACACGCATTTATATATACACCCCAACACATACAGACACACACACATACGCACATATATATACATACACACACACAATTGTGTGTATCTGTTTTCATGTTTTATTTCTCTTTTCTTTTTAAAATATGCACTTTTCTCTTGTTGAAACAACTATAACCTCTTCCGTCTCTCTCTCTCTATATATATATATATATATATATATATATATATATATATATGTGTGTGTGTGTGTGTGTGTGTGTGTGTGATTGAAGACGACTGACCAGGCACTACGATTAAGTTTTTTTAGATTTTTGTTTTTCGTACTAGCATTTTCTTTTCTGGACATAAATTGTGTAGAAACTGTCCAAATTTTTTAAATTTAAAATTACTACCATCTCACTTTCATAGAAAATATTCGTTCTCTGAGAGGATTCGAACCTGTATCCTATACGGAACCGTCATTTAGCTTGACGTGCCTTTACCAATTTGGCCACAGAGGCGCGCTGAGTTAGCAAGGTCTAATTTTCTGTGAAAATTTCTCAGACATTCAGGCCGGTAAATGTTGTTTAATACTGTTTATTATAAACAGAGAATTTACTTAAATATTTGTATTTATAAAAAGAATGTATAAGCATAAATAATGTCTTGAAATAATTGTCGGACTTTGTCCATTTTATAATGTGTGATACATATATATATACATACATATATAGACATGCATATATATATATATACATACATATACATGCATATATATATATATATACACATATATATATTTATATATATACATAAATATATATATATATATATATATATATATATATATATATACATATATATATATATATATGTATATATATATATATATATATATATATATATATATATACACATATATATACACATATATACATATATATGTAGACATATATAGACATATATATATGCATATATATACAAACATATATATGCACATATATACACATATATATATACACACACACACATATATATACACACACACGCACATATATGTGTGTGTGATAAGATGAAGAACAAATACGAGACTTTTATAAATTTAACATGTTTAACTTTTATTAAAGCTTCATCAGAGAATGAAATATGATGAAAAAGAAGAAAGAAATTCTGGCATTTTTACTTTTGTGTTGTTTGATTTTCATTGCTTAATCAGGTTTAACGTACATTCAACTTGTTAAACAAACGTTAGTGTAATTTATCGTGTTTCGAATTCAAGGAGAGACAAGGCGTCCCTTTGAAGTTCCAAGGATTTAACTGATTACAAGCTTAACGGAAAAACCGTAAATATTGCTGTATGTATGTAAGTGTATAATAATTCTACTTTATCTATGTGGGAATCCGATGATAATGTATATTTGTGTGTGTGTGTGTGTGTGTGTGTGTGTGTGTGTGTGTGTGTGTGCATCACGTGGACATTATGTTTATTCTTTTTTGTTTTTTTGTTTTTTTTGCATGTTGATTTTGGAACTCTCCGGCGTACACACCGTTTGTTTTAGATAAACATATCTTAGATTCTTTAAGAATGGATTCAATAAAGTTTTATGATGTAATATATATATATATATATATATATATATATATATATATATATATATATATATATATATATATATATATTATATATATAGTATGCTATTTATTATATAATCGGATTGTGTTTGGATGTTGTGGTAAAGATCCAAAGTAATAGGGATAAGTCAAAAAGTTGTTTATCTTCTCTTAAATATTTTAAAAGATAGGATTATTAATTATTAATTCAAATGTCAAATTTAGTTGTAAATTTGCGTCCAGTCTTGTCAAAAAACGAAAAAGTTTCGTCTTTCTTGGCCGAGAATTTCTCTTATCACAGTGTAGGATATTTAATAACAATAATGATAGAAATAAAATAAGAATCTAAATGAAATTGGCTAGATTATATCACTAACAAACATTTTTTAAAAATGTAATTATTTTTTCTATATTTAAAATTCCCAGCGTCTCTCTTTCGTGCGCATGTGTAGTCGCATTACCGTGAACAAACCATTGTCCGATGAAGTCCTTAAAGACGAAACATGTTACACGAAAACATTTTACACTTTGTCATACATCTTTCCTCCAAAACCTTTCTATATAATGAATATTCGTAAGTGTGTGGGGGGGTGCCTAGTAATTATTATGTTTATAGGCTTTTTGCGTGTTAATTAGGCAAAGTTCCGGCATATACACCGTTTGTTTTAGATAAACATAGATTCTTTAAGAATGGATTCAATAAAGGTTGGCGATGTAATATGTTTTTGACGTGTGTTTATAGTTGGTAATATTGTTATTAGGAGGTCATCGAAGTACTTTCTCTGTGAAGAATTATGTTTTTTTTAAATTAGGATGGCATATGTAAACTCAAATTTATAGCCAATTTTACTTCTGTGTATTACGAGAAGACATTAAATCGTTGTCCAAACATAAATCCTTTTATGTTCGTAGATAGGTGCTTTTAGATTTCGAGATGTCTCTCCGATGTAAGTGTTTTTACGTTGTATGCTATTTATTATTTAGTGGATTGTTTTGGACGTTGTGGTTAAGATCCTAGTAATAGGGATAACTAATTTATTTACAATGTTTTGAAAGGATAGGATTATTAATTTTGTGTTATTGATGTTAGAAGTTCTATCGGACGGGTCTATTTTTTTATTTGTGAATTTGTATGCTTGTTTTCTAGCTTGAGATAAAATTAGGAAGAAAAATAAATCCAACATCAATT